ATCTTTCTTGTTCTCTTATGCCTAAAACCAGGAGTACCCAAATAGTCTTGCTGAAACTGCCCTCTGATGTGAGGAGGCAATGAGTGGACATTGTGAAACTCAGTCTTTGTGGTGAGGTCATGACTGAGTTTTGACAAAGAATCTGCAGGACAGTTGGCTTCCCTGTAAGTATGAGAGCAAGTGAAGCTTTCACATGTGTTGCATAGGTCTAGGAGCTGCAGAAGCTTCATCTTGATGGTCGAAGGGAATTTTTTGCCATTGGCTAACCACAGAACAAGGAGGCAGAGTCTGTTTCCAAGTGGATTTTAGAGAAACCATTTTCCAAACACCACTGGATTCCTATAAAAGCAGCCTCAGTTTCTGCAAAGTTGTTGGTTCCTTCCCCTAAAGGAGCAGCAACTGCATGAATAAAGTCAGAGTTGTGATCTCTGATGATCATTCCTACCCCAATCTTGCCTAGGTTTGAAAGAGCACTCCCATCACTGTTGACCTTAACATAACCATGTCTTGGCTTCATCCAAACTACTTGAGTAGAGATGGTTTGATGCTTCAGGTTCTCAATGAAATGGTAGAGGTCCTGCCAGCTAAGAGGCCACTTGATATCAGGAAAGTTAGCCTTTAGTAGCAGGTTAACATCTGAATTAATGGAGAATAGGACTCTAGTCAAGGAAGTTGATTTTGCTCCATACTTTGTACTACACCTATTCTTCCATAAGTTCCAGCATATTATGATAGGGATTGAATGGAGAATGAGCTTCTGGACTTCATTATTACTGTGGAGCAGCCACCACTTCATCAACAGAAGTCTTAGGGGTAATTCTTCAGTTTGGACCCCAACAATTCCTGCAAATCTTTTCCATACAATTCTGGCAAAGTTGCCCCTGCTGAAAATGTGGTCGATAGTTTCATTTGTGTGAAAAGAACAGCACACACATCTGGTCACAATGGGGCTACTGAAAGGAAGAACTCTATCATCTGTGGGGAGTTTATTTCTGATAGCTCTCCAAAGGCAGAAGGACCACTTGAATGGGATCTTCTTATGCCAGGTCATCTTGTTGGAGAAATTAGGTTTTTTCTTGATTCTAATTAACTCCAAGCTGATGCACATATAAATCTGCCTTTAGTGTTTGGACTCCAAATAGCTGTATCTTGATTATTGTTGGTGGAGTATATTGGGTCTGCATGATCAGATGAGTCATATTGGCAGGGGCATCTGCATTGAGCCTTTAGATACTCCACTGGCCATTGTCCCAGAAGTGGGAAACTGTAACATTTCCTGGCCTGCCTCCTTCATGTCTGTGGTAAGCTAAAGGACCAACTCCTAGCCAATTGTCCCACCAGAAACTGCAATTCCCTGTATGAAGCCTCCAGTAAATATACTTCTCTACTTCTCTTTTGTTGGTCATTAGCCTTTTCCAGGCCAGTGACTGACCTGTATGCCATGTTTTAGAGATAGGATTAGATCTTTGAAAATACTTGGCTTTTAGGAAATTGCTCCAAAGTGATTGAGAAGTTCTGAAGTGCCACCATTGCTTGTATTCCATGGACTTGCAAATGTCTTCCATTTTCCTGAATCCCAAGCCACCTTCCTCTAGAGGGTAGCATAATTTGTGCCATGAAGCCCAGTGGTACTTTCTTTTGTTATTATCCATTCCCCAGAAAAAGTTAGCAGCAATCTTCTCTACTTGTTTCAATACAGTCTTAGGAGGAGAAACAGCTGGCAGGAGGTGAATTGGCATAGATTAAAGGACATACCTGATCAGAGTGGCTCTTCCTCCATGAGACAGCATCTTTCCATGCCAGCCGCTAATCCTGTTCACAATCTTTGAGACTAGAGTGTTGAAGTGCATGATTCTCAGCCTGCTAATGTGCAGAGGGCAGCCCAGATATGTTAGAGGAGATGTTTTCTTGGTGAAACCTGTGACAGATTGGATTCTTCTAACAACATAAGGAAAAGCACAAGGAGATGTCATGAAATGGCTTTTTTGTCAGTTAATCTGCTGGCCAGAAGTTTTTTCATAGTTGTTCAATACCCACATGATTTTCTGAAGAGAGGACCTTTTCCGAGAAGTGAAGATGATAATATCATCAGCAAAACTCAAATGATTGACTTGAGGGCCTCTCCTTTCCATGTAAAAGCCATTGAAAAATTGGTCATGGTTGAGGATATTGAGCATTCTGGAAAGAAGTTCAGCACCAATGATAAATAGAGCTGGGGCAAGAGGGTCACCTTGTTTTAGACCCCTTGTGGAGTGAAAGAAACCCCACCTAGAGCCATTGACAATTATTGAGTACCAGTTGTTAGACATTGTTCTCCAAATCGTGTCAATGATCCTTTCACAAAATCCCATTCTCCTAACATTATGCAAGTGAAACTCCAAGATACCCTATCATATGCTTTGGCCATGTCTAGCTTGATGACAACATTTGAACCTTCATTTGGTTTCTTAATACCTTGGACAATCTCTTGGGCCGGCATGATGTTCTTAGAAATATTCCTTCCTTTCACAAAGCCAGACTGGTTAGCTGAGATTATTCTGGAAAGAATAGGGACAAGTCTGGTGCATATGACTTTTGATATGATATTGTTTATGAAATTGATAAGACTGATGGGCCTGAATTCAGTCAAGGAGTTGGGGAATTCCACCTTTGGCAGCAGAACCAAACATGCACTAGTTATGTATTTAGGCATAGTACATCCACCAAAGAAAGCTAACACAACATTCAAAAGGCCATGCTTGATAATGTCCAAACAGGATTGGTAAAATTTGCCATTGAAACCATCTGGCCCAGCTGCACTAGTAGGGTTCATTGAGAAAACAACTTCTTTAAGCTCTAGCAAGGTAGGATCTGCAGACAGTGTGTCATTATCCTCCTGAGTGATCATAGGAGGGATACATGACAGCAAGTCTTCTCTGATTGAACCTCCAGGGTCTGTGAAGAGGTCTTGGTAGAATTCACAAGCAGCACTCCCAATAGCCTCATCTCCTTGGATCCATTGCCCATCCTCATCTTTAATCTTGTGGATGTACAATTTTCTTCTTCTACCTCTGATAAGGCTGTGAAAGTATTTGGAATTCGCATCCCCTTCTTTAAACCACTGGAGGTGAGTTTTTTGTTTTAGAAGATTCTCCTCTAACTTCATGTATCTTATGTATTGAGCCTTAAGATCATGAAGGCTTGCTCTGTCAGATTCATCATTGGTCTGTGCCCAAACCATCTCTGCTGCCTTTACCTTCTCTTCATATTCTTTTGCCTTTTGGAAGATATCCCCATATTCCTGCCTTGACCACTGACTTAAACCAATAGAAACTGCTTTTAGCTTCTGATGAAAGATCCACATAGCACTACCAGTTACCTGTTTGTCCCATATTCCTTTAACAAATGGTTTGAAATTAGAATTATCAACCCACGGATTCAGGAACTTAAAGTACTTGATGCTACTTTCTTGCCAAACTATGATTTCCATTAGAAGGGGGCTGTGGTCTGAACCTGCTGATGATAAATGGGAGACTATAGTAGCAGGGAATGCAGCTAACCATTGATCATTAGCAAGCCCTCTATACAGTCTTTTCAAGACTATTGAGCATTTACCTCTGCCATTGGACCAAGTACATCTGGGGCCATAGAAGCCCATTTCCACCAAGCCACAATCTTCTATCATGCAAAGAAAATCCAAGCTTTTGTTCATCTGATAGGGAATGCCTCCTATTTTTTCTTCAACTGAGGCAATGACATTGAAATCACCTATCACACACCATGGAGTATCATAGGTTGCTGATTTGAGTCTTAGCACCTCCCACAAGGGCCTTCTCAGGATTAGCTTGCATTTGGCATAGACTACTGTGAGGAAAAATGGGGTGCCACATTCCACATGTCTCATCTCCAGGGTTAACTGTTGCTCATCATGATCAGTGACTGAAGCATTGAATTCTTTATCCCAGAAGACCCAGATCTTGTCATTGACATTGGAAGCAGCTTGGTGCATGGACAATTGGAGTTTGAAGAAATTGATATGGGTATTGTCAAGGAATGGTTCTAAAACTCCAATAAAGGAAAAATTGTGGATGTGTTTCAGAATTCTGAGCCTCTCAATGGCTCCAGAGGTTCTGATTCCTCTTGCATTCCAAAATGATTGTACTAATCATTGGAAAGTGGGGTTTAAATTGTGTTTTGGTGGGACACTGTTGCTTCTGTTTCTAGCAGCTCTGCTCCTAGTTAACCTTGGAGATGGACTTTTCCTGGATGATAAGGTTGCATGCTCAATTTTTTAACTTTTTGGTTCTCCATTCACAGCAGCAATCAAGAGCTCACAGTGTTGTTCCTTTTCAGGATCCTCATCAGAGTCACTATCAACTTCTTGATTTACATCCATTTCATCCTCAGATTCAATTGGTTTGTACTCATCCTGTTGTGGAGTATATCTGTTGAGAGGGCATTCTTCCAAGACCATATCTGAGGAATATAGAAGATGGTTTTTCCTGGGAGTGTTGGTAAGGGAAGTGGTGGGATTGTATGATTTGGACTTGGGGTGCTTTTTGTTAGTAGTGGGTAAATCTGATTTAGAGCCATCTGAATGTGGTTCCTTGACAGGAAGCAGAGGCTGAGAAAGGGAAGGGTTGACAATGACAGGGTTCCTATAAACAGGGGATTCCTCTGTTATGTCATGGTCTGATCTGAGCTTTTGTTGGGTTTTTGGACTTAAAAATTGGGGAGTATATGGTGACTCATTGATACTGATGCCTGAGTTTTGCTTTCTCGTTGCTTGTCTTTTCTTTTTGCTGGGTTTGTTTTTTGGTTTAGGAGGTTGTATGTTGAAATCTAGAATTTTAGCCTTTCCTTTTATAACCCTCCGAATGTGATCTTCATCCTTGGTTAACCTTTCTTCTTCAGAGCTAGTGACTTCACAGTGCACAGGTTCCTCAGAGAACTGGACATGGTTAGATTCATTGTTGGCAGTTGTAGTTGCAGGGGTTTGACAGTCCAACCTAGGGTCAACCATTTGTGCATCTGCACACTCATGCAAAACATGAGGAACACCCACCCCTGAAGGTACCCCTTCCTATATAGAACTAGGTTTCTCCTGACAGTTTACCATTCCTCCTTTATCTTCTTCAATAGGCAAATCAACAGGGGGAATTGGGATTGGGTTATAGAGTTCTGGACACCAGAATCCTTAATCACTGCTTCAGCTGGAACATGAGAGGCAGCAGGAGCCAAACCTGAATGTTGACTGGGAGCATTCAGCACAGAAGCTGTTGTAGTTGCAGTAACATTATAATAGGGGCTTCGTATTGGTTTGCTTGGAGCTTAGTGTAAATCTTATGTATTATTGATATTGACCTTAGTAAGTGTCAGGTCGACCCCTCGTCACTACTTCTTCGAGGTTAGAGTGGATACTTGCTGGGTACGTGTTGTTTATGTACTCATACTACGCTTCTGTACTTAACTGTACAGGATCTAAGGCAGGTGCATCTAGTTACCCTCCGGTGCGCGTTCCTGATTTCTGGTCGAGATCTCACAGTGAGCTGCCCCTTGTGAGCCGTTCAGCAGCATACCAGAGTTTCTCTTCTTTTTGTTTTATTTTGTACTGTATATTCTGTTTCGGGCAGTAGGATAGTGGTATTCTTTTGTACATTCTACTAGTTTCCCTAGTACTTGTGACACTAGTTCCTGGCACACATATTAGCAGACTATCATTTTTGGGTTGTATTTATATTATTATGAAATTTTCAATTATCGACTAATTTAAATATAAGTAAAGGGAAATGTTGGGAATGTTTAATACAATAATTGAAAACTCGCTGTTTGTTAGGATTGGCTTGCCTAACCACAATGTTGGGCCCCATCACGACTTAAAGTGGAATTTGGGTCATGACACCCGAGGGCTCGGGTGAGTTTCGGATAGGCTATAGGATGTTTTGAACTTAGAAAATCTGGTATTTTGCTGCAGTTGGTGTTCCGGTGTGTTCTTCTTCGCATCGTGAAGGTACTCTTGCGAAAGAGAAGAGTGAACTGGTCGGGGTGGAGTTTTCTTCTTCGCGAACGCGAAGTCTGGGTAGAATGCGCAGCGATGGGGGCTTTACCCTTCGCGAAAGCGACCAGCTCAACGAGAACGTGAAGCATTAAGGACCTGGGGGATGCATCAGTCATTCCTTCATTGCGAACGCGAACAGGCTCGCGAACGCGAAGGCCAGGGGGCGTAGCCTTCTCGAACGCGATGAGGGATTCGCAATTGCGTAAGCCTAGTAGGCGCTGCTCTTCGCAAACCATACAGTGTTCACGCGAACACGATGAACACTATCGCCCAGCTATTAAACAGTCGCATTACGGGATTATGGCCATTCTTTCAAAATGTCAAAAGCTAGAGAGCCTAGAGACGATTCTTCCAAGATATTTTCTTCCACAAATTGTTGATAAGTGGTTCTAACCTGCTTTCTTTCAATTACCCATTACATTTCATGAATTTTCAACCTAAAATCTAGGATTTTCATGGTGGAAATTGTGGGTTTGGTTAGAATTAGAGATTTTCGTAAAATTGTTGTTAGACCTTGCATTGAGGTGGGATTCCAAAACCTATAATATATCCGGGATCCGGGTGAATGGGTAAACGGATTTTGGTCCGAACGTCGAGTTTAGACCAAGCGGGCCCGGGTCAGTTTTTTTACTTTTTGGGGGAATGTTTGGGAAATCTAAATTTATGCATTTTATTTGATTTATTTAGCAATATTTGATGTTA